TTTTTCCTTTCTGGTCTTTTGAAGGCACAGATTCATGTATCACTAAAGTCGACAGGCACCATACAGTCTCCAGTACCTCAGCCAAGTGGTCATTCGTCATACATGTGCTCAGACCGTGAACATTGGCCAAGGTTGGTTGAGATTCCAGGGATCATTTGGGCGCAGAAAAAGAACATAATGTCTCATTAATGAGAATGAATTGCGGAACTCACCTCTCCGGAACCCACCTCTTATGGACTATGGCTCTTCTTGTGAAAGGGTACTGCTACTGTGATGGGTATTTTCTATCTTAAATGCATTTTATTACATTTTTGCACAATCCAAACATATTACTAATGAATGTAATTGGATTGGCAAAAGGATTGGCAAACACATGCTTTGTTAGACTGTTACAATGCTTGAAATGAGTTACAAATAATATGACAACAGTGACTAATGTGGAGGGGAGAACATTTTGAAGATGATCTAAGTCATCTAGACCTTTCCACACTGTGAATATGTGTATGTGTGTGTGTTGGGGAGGGGGAAGGAGGGTTAGAGGAGGGGAAGAAGTCCTTTTTATTGTATGGGAATTACCCAATGTTTTCTCCTCCTCCTCCTGCTCTTGACATGTTTTATGTGTATTTTTCCAGAGGAAGATAGGAAAAGAGAGTTGGCATGAACGCCTGTAAACTTGGGGCCAAGAGGGTAACTGTGTATCTTACATTATAAATCTTACATTACAGGATATATTGGATCTGCGAATCTGTTATCGTGTTGATTGCTTGAAGCACAGGAGAACAAAATGCCCAGATCTTCAGATAATCTTAGATATGTATAGTAAGGTGCTCTTCTGCCAATAGCCTCTCTAGCACTGATCATCCATTTGTGGGCAGCATCTCTGAAGTCTCAGGAAGGAGTGAAACAGAGCCAGTGAAGGAGTTTAAGCTTGAAATAGAGCTAGTGAAAGAACTTCTGCATCTGGCTACAGGGTGAGTCAACTCACTCATTTCTAATCGAAGATGAGTACTCCAGATCTACCTCCCAAGCAAGTCTTGTTGACTCAGTGTTATCCTTAGGATACTTTGCCAATTGACGTTTGTGAAAACATATATCCAGAAAGAGAGCCAGGGTTTTCTGGGCAGGGGAGAATTTTTTGGGAGGGGGATTTAAATACGGGGTACCTGAATGTAGAGCAGTTACACTAAAATTCTGGCATCAGAAAACCTGGGGTAACATTTAATTAAATTTCTTTTTTTCACATAAAATTATGGTGGTTGGGCTTGCAGGTTCTAATGCCTGTTTGTACTGAGTTAGTTGATCTCAGCCAGGGCAACCTGTTAGAATCCTGCAATAGCTTTCTCAGCATCCCTGAATTAGGGAGGGTTAAAATAAAATCAACAGGATTTACTCCGAATCTCTATTCTAAAGGCACTGCTGGTAGAGTGGGTGATGGATGACAAGAGAATTAATTATGGCTGTAAGATTGCAGGACCGAGCCAAATCAATAATGTGCAGTCGCTGTCTAGATGCAAACATGAAAACTAGCGATGTCTGTCAGAGAGCAGATGAGGAAACTCTGAGGCCTGGGATAAAGGCTACTGGAGTTGTTGGGAGTCCGAGTTTGTGAACACTCTTTTGTACATCAAACCCTGGAATCCACCTTGGTTGGTTTGCAAAGCGGTAAGCAGCTGCTGCTTTAGCTCCACGCCTCCAATCGGTGGAAGACTTGGGATGGGATGTATGTCCCAGCTGTGGGCAGGAAGATGGTGGCAATGCTCTCACACATTTCATGTTGAACTGTGTTGCCCACTAGAATGCTTGAGGAAGTTCCTGGTACCTGCCATCCACCAAGCGAGATCTTAAATTTGCACTTGTTGGATGTCAAATGACCAACTAGTGACTTTCCTCATAGTGCGAGGTGGAGGTATATGGGGTCTCCTTGGAGCTGAACAAGCTCCAAGGTGACATGTTTGTCAATGAAATATCAGAACTGAGCCAACCCTCTGTGGTGGTCTTGGTACTCCAGTTCATGAGCCAGATGGACCAAGGGACTCCAGAGCACTACTGATGTCAGCCAGGCTGGCTCATCCACAGGACATGAAAGGGCAGACCAGTCACTGGGAGCAGGAACTCTTCCCATTCAGCTTATAATAATAATAATCCTTGCATTTGATGTAGCGCTTTTCACGTCTTCTTTTAACCCTGCAAGCCAAAGCCCTAACAATAGGGTGGTCCTAGCTGGACAAGCAGCAGGAAAGCTTGCCAGGCAGGGTTCTCGATGTGAAGCTGAAGAGTTTTAGCTGGCTAGATTCCAGCAGTACCCCAACGCATGCTCTGGGATCCCCAAGCCTTTGCTCTCGCTAACCTACTCCTAATAATTTCCGAATTAGGTAAGCAGGATACGTTGCTCCAGAAGAGAGCTCGCTTTCCATTCCAACAATCTATCTCTGGAATTTTCATGTATAGGTGAGATGAAGGAATCCTCAGTTTGGTTTGGACACTGTTACAACAACAAAGTTACATTTGTATAGCGCCTTTCACATCGGGCGGATGTCCCAAGGTGCTGGACAGTCAAGAGTTTTGGGCCCGAGCTGGGGAGGGTGGAAGAGAGGAGAAGCAGGGTGATTGAAAGCATGGTTGAGAAGGATGGTCTTGAGATGGGTCTTGAAGGAGGCAAGGGAGGGGGTGAGGAGGAGGGACTGTGGTATGTAATTCCGGAGGGTGGGGGCAGAGTGGCCAATGGTGGGGCGAGCGAGCGGGGGACGTGAAGCAGTCCAGAGCCCGCTGAGCGAAGGGAGCAGGCAGGATGGTAGGGGATTAGGAGGTCGCAGAGGTAGGGGAAAGCATGGAGGACTTTGAAAGTGAGGACCAGGACTTGAACTGTATCCTCTGTGTGATGGGAAGCCAGTGGAGTCGGGCGAGGATGGGGATGATAGGGTCACGGAGCCTGGTGCGGGAGAGGCCACGGGTTGCAGTTCTGGATGATCTGCAGCCTAAGGAGGGGGGAGTTGGGGAGTTAAGCACGGTGCTAGGTTTCCGCATGTGTCAGATACCTGGCCGACCCCCAAAAAATCTCCCTGTATCAAAGACAAGGATTCACTCTGTGTCTGTCTGACTCTCTCTCACAGGCCCAGTCCACACCATCGTTTCGTCTCCCTTTCTGACTGTCTCATTCTCTGTCCCACACTCTCTCTTTCTCTCTCTCTCACACACAGTCACTCTCCTATTCTCTCATGCGCTCACTCTGTCTCTCTCATTTCTCTATTGCTCTCACTGCCTCTGTCTTTCACTCTCCCAGACTCTCCCTCAGTCTTTCACTCTCTCTCTCTCACAGTCTCTCTCACTCTGTGTCTCTCTCTCTGTCTCTCTCACTCTCTCTCTCACTCTGTCTCTCACTCTCTCTGACTCTCTTTCTCTCTGTCTGTCTTGCACTCTCTCACACACTCTCTCTCTTGCACTCCCTTTCTCTCACACTCCTGTCTTACACTCTTTCTCTCACTCTGTCTTGCACTCTCTCACACTCTCTTTCTCCCTTTCTCTCACACACTGTCTTGCACTCTTTCTCCCTTTCTCTCTCACACACTCTAGTCTTGCACTCTCTTTCTCCCTTTCTCTCACACTCTGTCTTGCACTCTTTCTCTTTCACACTCCGTCTTGCACTCTCTCACACTCTCTTGCACTCTTTCTCCCTTTCTCTCTCACACACTCTCTCTGTCTTGCACTCTTTCTTCCTTTCTCTCTCACACTCTGTCTTGCACTCTCTCACACACTCTCTCTCTGTCTTGCCTTCAGCTCGACTCTCTAACCCCTCCTCGCCCCCTCCCTTCCCTCCCCTCCCCGCTCGGGTCCCGACCCAACTGTCCAGGGCCTTGGGACGTCCTCCCGACGCGAAAGGCGCTCTCTATAAATGCAATGTTGTTGTTGCACTCTCTCTTTCCCTCTCACACTCTCTCCATCTCACGCACCGACTCCGTCTCTCTCTCTCTCTCTCACTTCTGTGTTGCTCTCTCACTGCCTTTCTGTCCGTCTCTCTCACACTCCGTCTCTCTCTCTCACACACACACACACACAGACTTTGCCAGTCTCCATGGTTCCCTCCCCTCTCTCTGCTGACGCAGGTACCCGGTGACCGGCCTACGTCATTTCCCCGCGCCGCCAGCGCGCCGCCCGCAGACTCTTTCTCTCTTTTCTCCTCTCCCGACCGGCCCGAGTTCAGTGGAGAGCGGCGGCCGCGAGCCACAGAGACACACACACACATACACACACAGGGAGAGAGGGGGGAACAGACACTCAGCGCCCTCCCGCAACCCGGGCAGCGGCGCGCGTCTCAGCACCAAACAAACGGTCAGAGCGCGAGGAGAGGAGCGCAGCCATGAGCGGTGGGGGGCACCCGGGCACCGTGTGAGGGAGGGAGGGAGGGTGTCGGGGCGGAGGCCGCCACACACAACACAGCGGCCAGCCCGCCCCGACCAGAGAGCCCCGGCCCGGGGGGTGGTGGGGGGGGGGGGGCGGCACATTCACACCCGGGAGCGAGGCCCCGGGTAGTGGCTGAAGGTATCCGTGTCTTCGCCGAGACTCCCTCTCTCCCTGTACCCCTCCTCCGTAACCCCCCTCAGTACCCTCCCTCCCTCCCTCCCCCTCCCTGCCCTGCCCTGTCTCCGAGGCTGAAGCTCCTGCTCGCCGCCGGGGTCGGGGAGTGACGGAGTGGGGGGGAGAGAGAGAGAGAGAGAGAGCAGGACTGGGAGGACAGACACACACACACACACACACAGACACACACACACAGACACACACACACAGACGGACAGACTCAGAGTCCCAACTCTACTTTTGTGTGTGTGTGTGTGTGTGTGTGAACTGAAGAAGCCTCATCACCAGCCTCCCCCCCCTCCCCCTCCCCGGGCTGCAAAGTGCTGAAAAGTGTCTGAGAGAGAGAGAGAGAGAGAGAGGAAGCCTCCCTTTACCTCCCTCCTCCTTCCTTCCTACCTCCTTCCCTTCCTCTCTTCCCTTCCCTTACCTTACCCGCCCTCCCAGGTTCAGGGCATCAGGAGGAGGAGGAGGAGGAGGAGGCGCTGCTGCTGCTGCTGCTGTTTCGGCGCCGGCGGCCGCTCAACTGCACAGGACTTGCAATCTGGTTCGGGAAAAGCCGGTGATGTCCGACTGCACTTGATCCGTGAACCCGGGCCCCGAGCAAAGCGTGTGGGGGGCGTCCCGGAGGGAGGTGTTGGGGGTGAGTTTCACTCGTTCGCTTGGCTCACGGCATCGATTGTGTGTACGTGTGATGTTATGTGTGTGTGTGTGTGATGTTGTGTGTGTGTGTGTGTGATGTGTGTGATGTTGTGTGTGTGTGATGTGTGTGTGTGTGTGATGTTGTGTGTGTGTGATGTTGTGTGTGTGTGTGTGATGTGTGTGATGTTGTGTGTGTGTGTGTGTGATGTTGTGTGATGTGTGTGTGTGATGTTGTGTGTGTGTGTGTGTGTGATGTGTGTGTGTGTGATGTGTGTGTGTGTGTGATGTGTGTGTGTGTGTGATGTTGTGTGTGTGTGTGTGTGTGTGTGATGTGTGTGTGTGTGATGTTGTGTGTGTGGTGTGTGTGTGATGTTGTGTGTGTGTGTGTGTGTATATGCATTCAAACTAACTGTGAGAACGGTCAAAGTTTGCGGGGAGACAGACGCGAAGAGAGAAATGAAGTGAAATTTAAAGCTTTCGGCCATCCGCCTGTTTTGCACCGTTTTTTTTTTAAAAAATAAAAAAATAAAATAAAATAAAAATAAAATAAAAATAAATAAATAAATAAATAAAATAACGGCCTGGATGGCAAAGTGGTTCAAAGAGTGCTGCCCCTCACTTTTTAAGCAAAGAAAAGGAGGAATTGCACCCAACACACAAATCCCCTCCCTCCTCCCCTCCCTCCCTCCCCTCGTCCGTATTCATTCAGAGGGGTTTCCCACCAGGAGTTCATCTACACGATCGTTTGTCAAGTTCAGATAAAGAGGGTCTCAATTGATGTCCTTTTTTTTTGTAATTCAGAATTCATTGCGATCCCCACACCCCAAAACCCTACGTTTTTCAGGTCGTTTCATTTAAGCAAATGCACTGAAACTTACACGAAACTACGTGAGAAGTTTTCGTGCGTTCAGGCAGTTTTCAGCTGCTTTCTAAAATCTTTCATGACAATACGAGTAGGGTCTGTCCTGTCTCTTACAATTGTTACTGCAAACGGAGAAGGCTTTAAATAATGTATGTCACAGCGCTTGGTGGCAGAATGGTTTGACCTTTTAATTGGGTTTAACCTTGCACATTCATCTCTTAAATGTTTCATACAGTAACTTTTAGTGAGCAATTTAAGTTGGCTAGATTCTAACTTTTAATTTCTTCAGGAACTAGATCGTCTTGCCAGGTTTAAAGCCAAAAAGCTAATGCATAGGAAGATCATTTGTGAGAATCAAACCTCCCAGAAGATAGTTTGTTAACCAGCCGTTTTTAATTGAATTTTGTTGCTACAGACTTAATCTGGCATGAGGACATTTATATCCTATAAGGGAAGAATGAAAATACAGCCATTTTGACATCAGCTGTGTTGTCATTAGCAGTATATCTGCCCTCAGAGAAACGTACACAGTCTCTCAAGGGAAAGGAAGTGCAACTGAGGTGAAGTGATGGCAAGCACCCATCTGATGTAGATGTGCTTTCAATGGGAAGTTGTGGTATATTGTTTTTATTTGAAACTATTTTCTGATCACTTTTTTTAGTGGAGTGGAACTTCAAAGGTAGATGCATTTTTAAATGAGGACTGTCAGGTATTTACACTGAACACTGTTGCCATATGCTGCTTATCAGGAACATAACAGTGGGAGTTGCAATTTTTGTACAGAAACGTTTATGGAGAGAGCTGTGGCTCCTACACAATGTTCAAGCAACAATGAGCAAGAAGGTGTGCTTCCTTTCAAGGTTTACCATGCTTTAGCAGTTTGCTTTGTGTAGTGCCAAAATAGTGGCTGATGTGGTTTTAAATTCCAAATAGACATGCATCTTCAAAGTGTTCATTATTGTGATTTAGATTCATCACCAGTTTAACTGTTAGTCTAGCATGGAGGAAATTAGTTTCAATCTAGAATAATGGCAGTTACACCAGCAATAGGTGATCTTAATGCAGGGGAACACCCACTAAAATTCTGAAATCATCTTTTATTGCTCGAAAGTGTGCAACCCTGCGCCCGAAATCTGATATATAACATCAACTTGCATTTATATATCGCTCTTCATATGGGGTATTGTTTCGGAACATTTAACAGTGGCGGAGCTTGACACTGAGCTGGGGAGAGGGGGGAGGTAGGCCAAAGAGGAAGGTCTTCAGGTGTGATCTGAAAACGGGGAAGAAGGAAGCAAGGTGGAGGAATTGAGGACGAGAGTTCTATAGTTTTGGGGAGTAATGACTGAAGGCACGGACACCGGAACGTGCAGAAGGCCGGAGCCAGCTGAATGGAGGTGGGGTAGTGGAGTGCGGGACATAAGTTAGCAATTTCAATGTCTATTAATCATCGTTCCAATTACAAAAAATATTCTCTTAACTATAACCATGAGTTTCTTTGGTAGGGCAGTGCACTGCTGGCAATGAAGATTGAAGTTATTTACGAAATGTTACTGTAGCTCATGACACTTTGATACACAGCCATCCACTGCTAATTGATCTGCCTCAGGTGATGGCTGATTAATAAGAGGTGTTAATTAAAAGTAGTAACATGATACCAAATGAAAATTAGGAAGCCAAACAAAAAACTGGCAGTTAGTTTGATGCCTACTGTATCAAGGCTTTTTTTTTGAACGTGCTTTATGAACGCTGATCAAGCTTCTGTAACTTCTTGCAAAAGATGTGCGTTTGCTGTGGGTTTTATACATCTCAAAGGAAAAGTTCATGGTGTGCTTTTATACACGTTAATACTTTAATATATTTAATATATAATACGTTAATACAACATTTTTATCTATTTGTTTAATTAAAAGAAACCAGTTGCAATATCATTCATACCATATATATTATATTTATCTATTAACAGCTTCTCCTCCAGCCCTCACACCGTGACATATGGTGTTCTTCAGGGCTCTGTCCTTAGCCCTTTCCTCTTTAAAATTTATATACTCGCACTCAGTGGTATCATCCACAGATATGGGGTGAACTTCCACATGTATGCAGATGACACTCAACTCTTATCTCTCTGTCTCCACCCTCAACTCAAGGTCCAGTGCTGTCCTGATTTTCTGTCAGACATCAAGTCCTGAATGAGAGTTAATTTCCTCCAGTTGAATGTTGACAAAACCCTCTTGCTTGGCTCCCGTCAGCGCCATAAGAAGGGAGTCTTCCCAATTCTTCCTTCTACAAGTTGCAGATTATTGAGAATTCTGCACGAGCGTGTCCTCACCCCCACCAACTCCGTGAGCCCATCACCCCCATCCTCGCCTGGGATTATAAATGTAATCTGTTGTTGTTGTATCCCAGTTTTGCTGTACTTTGGTTTCTGTTGTAATTTTACCATTATGCTTACAAGACAAACTTTGTATTTAGATATTTCTACGGTAGCTAAACCTAGCACTTTCAGCAGAAGGAAAGGAGCAGGCCGAGTCATGTGAACAAATGGAAGTGGAGGGGGGGAGGGAAGAAGGTGGCTCCAATTTGTAAACGGGTGTTAAACTTTTATGTTGTCTGCTGTGGCAGCTATTCATTGGGGCTGTTCTGTTTTATAATGACTTGTGCTCCTTCAGATTTTTTTTAAATTTTACTGCTGAGATGTTTCATGCTTATATTTTTTATTTTCTTGCAACTGTTAACTTAGTACTGTATTGCATACATTATGTTGTCCACAAAATATTCAAGATACTACTTGATGAGTGGTTTATGGTTGTAGATGACGTGTGAATTACACAGGCATCTTGTGTTGTATTGTCTGAAGTTTGGGGAGGAGAGGAAGGAGGGTGTGTACGTAGATCTTTTTGTCTGTTCTTTAGTTACCTCCCTCCTTAGCCCCATCTTGCCTACATTTTCTTTAGTTGGGATTGTTGCCATGTGGTTTTTTCTTTGTGTTGCATTTATTTGTACGGGGGGTGGGGGGAGTTTGGTGGACTGTACCGCCTTCCATAACCTTGACAGCTACATCAGTTAGGTGTAATTTCTGTCTGCTTGATTGTGGGCTGAAGCAATATTTTGATGTGTACCAATCTTTTAATGTGTTGACTTGTTTTTATTTTTTCCAAAAGGTAGTTTCTGCAGTGGGAGAAATCAAGGTTGGTTTGCTCATGGACATGGTTGGGATTTTTCATGTCATTACAGGGAGTACCAGCAAGTGGTAAACTGGATCTTTGGTTGGTAATGAGCAGAGAAATCTAAATTCCTTTTTGTGCATTTCTAGAAAAGTAACTAGTTCCCCCAGAAGGCGTGCACGATTGTACTTTGCTTGTCAGCAGTTTTCTACGATTTGCAGGCTCTTTGCAACCTAGTGGCAGGTGAATTATGTGCTGCCTATATAATCAGATAGCTTCCCTGATTTTTTTTTCATGTACAGTATATAATAATAATTCTTACATTTGATATGCACTATAAAGCGTAGTGACTATTTGTTGGTGAATGAGGATTGTAAGTAATACAAACTAAATTGTGTGCTAACATGTGACTAGCTTTGCTCTCTGTGAGAGGGTAGCAAAGTAATATAGTGTTGAGTGGGGGAAGTGACTTTTTCTCGTTGGATTAAGATGTGTTTGTAGGTTGTTGAAGCAGTTACATTAACTTGGTTTTACGAATGTCTCAAGTCTTTGTTAGAGTTGCTGTCAGTAGCAATCTTTTGATGTGTTGACTTGTTTTTATTTTTTCCGAAAGGTAGTTTCATGCTGGGGTGTGATTCCAAAGTGCAGATGTTTCTACGTTGCTTAAGTGCTCGTTTAGACGTGTTAACAGACCATTTTTGATGGTATCACATGTCAAGCTTGATGTCTTTGTCTGATGTTCACAGGTGCATTTCTAACAGAACACACTTCATTTATGATCAAGTGTGGCAACTCTTGTGTTCACCCTTTTAATTATATAATAATAATGCTTATATTTGATATAGCGCCTTATCACGTTGTTGAAACGTCTCAAAGTACTTGTTTTTTGAAGGGATTATTATCCCCAGATAGTAATCTGTCAATCGACTAACAACCACTGTTACGTAAACAGAGTAAGGAAACTTACTTAACATT